TATACCTGTTTTAGAGACAACCCAACCCAACCTTAGGCAGATCAAGTTCCTTACAGTAATTTCACAATTTGGTAGTGGTAGAATGAAAATCTAACCTAAAGACTTCTGATAATAAACCCCATGCTCTTTCTGGGCCGTCCAAATCTGATTTTGAATTTATTCTAAATTATGGCTAGACCCTAAACATATTCTGATGAGATCCTTTGACTAAAGCATAAAATCTGTGTATTTATTTGGCTTTTAAAAATTATACTTTATTCAAATTTTACATAACGTTTTAACATTACTCAGACTTCTGTACTTTTCAGAGAGACCTCAATAGTTTCTTTCCCCTCTAAAAATCAGAAACTTGAATCCAGAAGTATAAACAATATCTAAGATTACATCAAAATTTCCAAACTCATGATATTCAAATAGGTTCTAAACTGAGTACACACAGTCTTCCTATGCTCTCTTTGAAATCTGTTTATTGGCATGTGAGTTTTTTTTCTCTTCCTCATTTTTTTCATATCTCATCTGGTGACAAAGGCGGTTAATATTATCTTCCTGATATTGTCAAATGTTTATATTTAAATTTTTTTTCCAAAATAGCATGGACTTTCTCTTCTGACTCATTTTTCTTTTTTTATTCTCCTTTTTCTTTGTTTCTCTCACATTTTTCCTTTGCTATATTACATTTCTCTAAGAACTGAACCTAGCATTATAATTTTTAATGCAACATCACTGACATATTTTAAATCATTAGCAACTTTGTAAAATAATTTCTTATTATATCTAGAGACAGTGACAAGCATATCAAACTCAAAGACTAATACGGACCAAATAAATGAGGCATGTGGCCCGCAGGCCACGAGTTTGACATGCTTGGTGTAAGTGGTTAGAAAGTATTTGATTGAAGTTACACAGAGTGTATATTGGGTAGCATTTCTTAGTGGGGAAGCTACAAAGCCCCTTAGAGAAAAATGCCTATCCTGAACTGTAAGCAACTTGAAGCAATGGACAGCATTTAAGTCATCAGGTGGATCCCCAGTCTAAAACAATGCAAGGCTCATAATAGAAAGTCTATAAATATTTGTTGAATAAGTGTAGTTATTAGGCAATCCATTAACCTCCATGCCCAGGACTTCTGTACAGCTTCTCCAAGGCCTTGAAGATAACTGATTACACATGCCTGGAGACTTATGATGTGCATGATAACTCTGCCTATTATGACCTTAGTCATTTATATAAATAAAACCCTAATATATAAATAGACCGAATGGTGGAACAACCGAACAAATGAACAACTGGTCACTATGATGCTCACTGACCACCAGGAGGCATGCGTGGAACATGGCGGGCCTTGGCAGCAGGAAGCAGAGCACGAAATATGGCAGACATCGGCTGTAGTGGGATGGTGGAGCAGGTGAGCGGGGGTGCCAGACCAAGGCAGGGTGCTGGTCGCTGTCATCAGGGCGTGCCTCTAGTGGTTACTGAAAATTCTTTGCTCCCCACGCCATGGTCCCGCTGAGCACTTGTACCCCCGCTCACACCCGCTGCTGGCTCTGGTTCCAATCGCTCCGTGCCATCAGCAGGTGTGAGTGGGGCTGATGCCATCAGCAAGTGGGAGCAGCGGCAGCAGGAGCAGAGTTGCCGGCAGACAGGGGACCAGGGGCCGCAGCAGGAGGAGCCGGGCGGGGCTGCAGAGGATGGGCCGAGACCTACCCCTGTGCTTACTACAGCCTCCCGGCCCACAGTTTCTTTCAAGGTGCACTGGGCCCCTAGTATTTTATAATATACAGAGCCATAACCTGAAATAGTTTTCTCACAATCTGGCCTATGGCGGAAAGGCCAGAATGATGGGTCACTATGATGCACACTGACCATTAGGGGGCAGACGCCCAACGCAAGAGCTGCTCCCTGGTGGTCAGTGCACTCCCACAGGGGGAGCGGCACTCAGCCAGAAGCCGGGCTCATGGCTGGTGAGTCCAGGGTCGGTGGCAGGAGCCTCTCCTCCTGCCTCCATGGAAGTGCTAAGGAGCAGTGAGCTGAGTGGTAAGGAGCAGCGAGCAGGCCGGCAGTAAGGAGCAAGGGGCCCCAGACTGCGAGAGGGCACAGGTTGGGCTGAGAGACCCCCCTCAGTGCACTGGGTCTCTAGGTACTTCATAATACTTAAACTGAATCTATTGAGATTATCTGTGCTTTCCACTTTGTTCTATTGACCCAGAATTTCTATTTTAGGCATTATTGAATAGAAACATGTACATATGTGCACCAAGAGACATGTATGAGAATGCTCAAAACAACATTATTCTTATTAATCTCCAACTGGAAACCACCAAAATGTCATAATCATGGTATATTATAATGGAATATTGTACAGCAATGGAAATGAATAGCTATATACAGTACTGTGGATACTTGCTAAAATTGAGAAAGAAACTAACACAAAAGTTTAAGTACTATAAGATTGCACATATATAACGTTTTAAAAAGGTAAAATCAGACTATAGTGTTAGAAAAAAGGATACTGATTATTTTTGGGGAAAAGCTTAGGTTAAGGATTATGAGGAGAATGGAGGGGTTTTTTGTTGTACTGGTAATTGTCTAGCTCTTGATTTGGGTGGTGGTTACATGGGTGTGTTTTTTTTTTTGTGACTATCAATGTGTAAAATTCTGATTTGTAAAATTAAATACATTTGTATACAAGTACAAAGACATCTGTACTGGAAGGATAGACATTTTGGGACCCTTTAGGCAGGATTGAAAAGAAAAATAAAAGTGCCATTCATAAGTGATATTGTATATACATAGACATTTCAAAAAAATTAGTAAATTAGTAAAATTCAAATGATTTTTGGATATAAAATCAACATTAAAATTCAACTATATTGCTTATAAAATCAAATGATTCTTTGTACTAACGACTAACAGAAAATAAAAAGACATTTATAATTAAAAACTTTTAGTACCTAGGAATAAATCTAACCTTCCATTCTCTAAATTTAATGAGAGAAATTAAAGAAGATTCCAATAAATAAAATGGCATATCATTCATGGATGGAGTAGCTAGATATTGTGTGTGTGTGCATCTGTAAATATATATATGAAAAAATTCTAATTTTTAATTATAAATGTCTTTTTATTTTCTGTT